AGTATATATATATATATATATATATATATTGTTTACTTACTAGAATGTTTCCATGTTTCTTACATCACAGAAACCAATTATTATTATTATTAATGATGTTGTTGTTCTTGTTATTATGTTATATGTTAATACTGTATTGTTGTTATTAACAGCAAGGCTTCTGCTGTGTTTTAAAGTAATACTATACAGTACTGTACCACAAAACTTGGTACAATGTTTTGGTCTCACTGCAAATTTAGTGAAGGATCACCATAATGTAATTATTCCACAGTAAGTGCATAAAAAATTACATGAAGTGAAAATTGAAATGTATACATGATGCAATAACTCTTTTCCGTATTATTTTAATTGATCTTTGAATTGCTGTCAATTTCAAGAAATTCGTCCATAAACCAGAGTATACTGAATTTTTTTCGATGATTTTTTTTTTAACGAATAACTTCTTTAATCTTTTTAATTGAGCAATTCAGTGCTCTTTTTTTGAAAATAGAACAGAACTGTTCTATTTCTCTATGGTTTGAATGCTTTTGGAGCTTAGAGGTTTTACCAATTTAATAAAAATCCCTATCAACAAATTTGTTCTCGATAAATCTAAAAAAGTATCTAATATCTACATACAGCCATGAATTCTGAAACTAAATATAAGTTCATTTTTATCCCTGGTTAAATATTTTTATAATCACTGATATTTTTTAACGGTATTCATTTTATTGAAGTTTAATTTTTTTACTAAATATCTCTGCATTTTATTGACTATTTTTGGGTTTTTTTTTTTTTTTTTTTTTTTTTTTTTCCACAATTCTCATTTTTTTTTTTTTTTTTTTTTTTTTTTTTTATTCAGACAGCCCTTCACAAGCTTTTGCTTTTTGGGTTTTTGCCTCTCTTCTAAAATTAATATTTACCTTTTTTATTTAAAGCTGTACATATATGAAAAAAAGAGAAATAAATGTTACGTTGATTAATTTAGCGTTACTTTAGGCTTATTTTGCTAAGGTGTACAAAATAAAAATTAACTATATTTTCATTAAACAAATGTGTGGTGGAATTGGTTTCCCTGTTTCTGGTGCTAACAATAATTCTCTTCAAATATAATATATGCACAACCGCATATGCTTGTATTCAAAACCAAAAACTGATCATGATGTATCAAAATCCAATTCGTTTTTCATTCTCTTTTGTATAATTAATGTTCTTTTAAATCTCCATATTGTGTTTACATTATTTTAATTTTCCATGTTTCTTACATAACCATGTTCAGTTGAGAAAGTATAATACATACTCCAAGTATTGAAATACACGCCATCGTGTTGGGATTCAATATTTCGACATTAATTATGTCATATGACACGCTATCGTGTTGGGATTCAATATTTCGACATTAATTATGTCATATGACATAATTAATGTCGAAATATTGAATCCCAACACGATGGCGTGTATTTCAATACTGTACTTGGAGTATGTATTATACTTTCTTATCTGAGATTAATCAGTGGACCTTTCAGTGTTCAGTTGATGTCACAGGGCACCGTACTATGTTTATTCTCGTTGTCACGGGCCCTGTTAATAGCGGAGTTTTAGGTCTACTTTATGCTGTGTCTGAATTTATCTGTATTGTGTTCTATTTTGGGTTAAATCGTTAATCCATGCAAAAGTAATAATTTCCATGGAATTAAGATGTGATCGTTAGGTCTTCCGAAATAACCGTATCAGTTGAGGTGGAATTGCTCTTATGCTTAGGATTATGTTTAAATGTTTATAAGTCACCTAAAACATTTCTTTTAAAATTTTGCGTAAAAAATAGAACGTGCCATCATTTAACAACTTGTTCATGTAAATGTCATAGTTATAGTAATCCATTGTGGATTAATAAATTGACATTTTGTGATGATAAAACGTATTCTTGTTTTGTTAATTATTAATGTTCATACTTGTTTGTTTTACTTGTCCTTATCATTTAATGCCGTTAAAAATATTCTATATTTTAAGTTTAAAAATTACATTTTGATTAAAACAAGTAATTTTGTTTTGTCACGAGTGTCGTTGCTTTTTGCCATGAGTGCGTTTCGTTACAAGTACCGTAGCTTTTACCAAGAGTGTTTTTATTTTCGTTGGTTTTTAAACACAAGACTTATTAAAAGTTATGCCAAAAATATCGGTATATATGTGCATATATTTATTATTTTATATATTAGCTTAAATAATGCCGCCGATGTGTGTGTTGGGTGAATGGGAGTGGGGTGTCTGTTCCTTGTATGCCTTTTGATCCCTTCGATATAAATAGTACCATCAATGGTTATTGTTGGATTTTACGTGCAATGATTGTTGGAATTAGTACCGGTGCGATCAAGGTTTTAGAAGGAGCCTCCCCAGGGGTGGATTTAGAGGGCCCCGGGACCCCTTTTTGAAAGGTGCAAAAATGAGAAAAGAAAGAAAAAGAAAAAATCGATCTCCCAAAACACCTCAGAGGTTATTTTTGGGCGTACAGAACACACAAATTTCGCGGGGGCATGCCCCGGACCCCCTAGGGTGATA